CCCCGCATCCCCACCGGCATAAACATTTGGGGCCGCTCTAATCTGAGAAGGACGGCGGTGGCGGGTGGCGCGCGAAATTCAAACGGCCATCATAATTAATTTATTATCCCGATGGCGGCACCGGGATGATGACGATTGTTTTTAATTAAACGGGACGCCAGCCTGGCTCGGCCACGCGCCGTCTATTTGCTACCCGTGTCTATTCGAGGGCTCCAGCCGACAGTCGGACAAAACAGGTGCAAGAGAGAGGTTGACTGGTACCATTGATAACACCGTTCGAACGCAAATATGTAGGGGTACAATTGGCCCGAACCACTGTAGGCCCAAGCAGTGTCCGATATGAGCCAAGCTAGACGTAGCCAGGACCGAAGGTGACGAGTCAGACTCGACCTAGGCTCATAATCTGCGTCATTGGTCGGCCTACAGTGGTTCGGACTCATGTCCATATAGCCGTACAATTTTGTTTATCTTTTGAGAATAGCCGCTCGTAAGGGATACTGTGAGATTTGTTTTGGTTTATTTTACCAACGACGCAAAGAAAGTCACAGTTCAGATTGCAAGAAAGCAGGGGGGAAGGTGGTTTCAAAATTTCTGTCGTAAAACACGGGGACTTTGTTCCCCCGTGAGCGAGAGCGCGTTGCCGTCGCTGTTTCGAGGAGCCTTGCCTACATTGCAGACTCCCAAAACACTTCTCCCTAATTTTCTTCTCGCCGCCAGTCTCCCCTTTCTTCGGACTCTCCCAATCCCTCGCCCGCCCCCCACCCCCGCTCTCCCTCTTCCCAATACAAATTCATCCCTCACTCCACCCGACCACAACCAACCACCGTCCTTTTCTTCTCCGTCTTTCCTCTCTCGTCCTGCGCCGTCCCTTGCTCGCTCGCACTCGAAAGCAGAGAATCACAGCGAGCGGCAAGCGGCGAATCGCAGCAGCGACGGCAAATAAAATTTGCATAAGACTCTCTTGCTCGACCTCTCGGCCCGTCCGCGCTCTGCGCTGCTCTCGCGCTCCAGTCGCCGTCAGGGCGATTGTCAATTTCTGCGTTGTCTCTCCCGACGCGCCCATCCCGACGCCCAGCCCAGGCCGCCGCCGGGCCGACTAAAGCGACTCGATTTATAATCCGCCGCGGCCGTGCCGTGCCGAGCCGTGGCGGGGCCGGCGGCGCCCGTGCGCATCATTTGCCACGACGAGCGCCATTCCCCTCCGCGGAGTGCATCATCCCCGCACGAGCCGCCGCCGCCGGGAGAGTGAGCACAAAGTGCGTCTTACATCGGGGGAAGGCGGCGGTGCCCGGCGGTGCCGCGGTGGGGGGCAGCGGTGTAGCGCCGAAAGGAACAACCTGCCGCGGCGCGAGCAGCGAGCGGGGAACCAGCAGGAACCGGAGAAGGAAATTAGAGGGAATTTAAACCGGACTGCAGCGGCGGCGGCGGCGGGCACAGGCAGGCGGTCCAGCCCGGGCCGGGCCGACGGCCGACGGCCGACGCGGCTCGAATGCCTGGCATATTTCACCCCAATTATGGGCAGACTCGCTATGTGGCCACGACGCTCTTTGCATTACTTCTTGCGAGACGTCGCCGCCGCCGCCGCCGCCGCTCCCGAGCCGCGAGAGCCGCACTGGCTCTGCTGCGCGCCGCGTCCGCAAAAGGTTTTAATTTGCGGGCTGCGCACATTTACGCGTATCGCCGGAATGTGTTTTGCATTCAAATTTTTCCCTTCAAAGTATCAGGCACTCGTGGTGCGGGCACGCCCGAATAAGTTGTGGCTGTATATTAGTCGCCCGCCGCAGCGCCTGAGCCAAAGCGGAGAAAAGAAAAAGGAGGATTGCCGTTCTTTGAGTTAAACCCAGGAAATTTTCAATATTTCGTTTTAAGGCCAAAAAAAATTATTCTATCATACCTTACTTTTTACCTTATTTTATCATGTGGTATACTTGTGGGGCTCACATTAGCTATTTCGCTATTTCGGCGTTCTCTATGTGGAAACCCAACGAGAGTAGTTATATTATTTACTGAATCCGTACTACGCATGCATGAACACTCCAAAGCCAAAGGTTTCCAAAGCTCACATCTCACATGGTACTGTGTGTCCCTCTGCTGTTTCTTTTTTTTAGAAGACTAAAAAAGAAACGGTGTCAAGCCAAGTTGTACCGATTACCGAGATTACACAGATTCCAAGCAAACAAAAAACAGGTGACCTGTTCCGTCAACCACCTAGAAAGGACCAAGCGGGGCATGCTAATTAGCCAGGAAACGCGAGATAAAATAGTCTCTCTCTCTCTCTCTCTCTCTCTCTCTCTCTCTCTCTCTCTCTCTCTCTCTCTTTTTTCTCTCCTCTCTTCTCTCCCTGAAAGGTAGAGAAATTCCAAACCCCAGTTAAATACCTTGGCGCCCAAAAGTACCTCCTCGCTCGTCCTCGCCTTTCAAGAGAGCAGCACCAAACAAGCGTCGTACGCCAATAAGGAGAAATTATCCTGTGCGCGGAACGGGGAACCAGGAGAAATGGAGCGCCATGAATAGTGAAATTAGGGATGCAAAAAGTTAATTTCATGGACGAACAAGCAGTAACTCTTGAAAATGGAGGGCGATGAAGGTTGCGTTGCGCCAGGAACAGGTTGGGGAAATAAGAGGTGGAGCGAGGGGCGGTGTAGAGGTGAAAAAAAAAGAGAAGATGCAGGGAAGCCGTGTTCGAAACAACGCCGCGAGTGAAATAAGCCCTCGCATTTCTCCTGGAACAATGCTATTCCCACTCTGTTCTTAAATTTGACAGTAGGAAGTCTTGTGGTTGGATGGTGGATCCGCGTGGTCAGAATGGGCGCGAGAAAGGAATTCCACCAGTAGGATATGCACCGTGGTGAATATGGGAGGGGGAGAGAGCAAGAGGAAGGGACGGAGAAGAGAAAGAGAGAGAGAGATTATAACTATTAACCCAGAAAGAAGACAAGCCACTGCGCCGGACAGGGCACCTGAATGCCGAGATAAGCCGACGAGAGACCTGGCGGAGAAGATTTAGAGGCTGATGGAGGCTGTAGGGGGCTTAGCGAGAGGAAGGGGGTGTCCCTGCACTCTCATACGAACACACCCTGTCCTCCCCAGCCTCCCCCCGCACGCACACGCACGTTCTTAATCCCGTCTTCTTAGCGACCGGCAGCCAAACAATACCCAAGTACCCCTCCCCGTAGAGTCAGTGCCGGCGAAGAAGAGGGTGGGAGTAGAATCCTCCTCCCGGAGGGTGGAGGGAGAGGGGGCGGGGGCAACTAGACCGAGCCAAAGTGAAGGAAATTAGAGAAACTGGGGGAGAATGTTTCAGGGAGGGGGTTGTGAGGTTTACCGGGGATGCAGGGAAGGGGGTGGAGGGTTGGAAGAAGGGGGAGCTGAAGTGAGCTGCACACACATGCCTCGGAAATTTTGCCCAGCGTAATATTTAAGGCAGGATTAAGCAATCTGATGAGGGCATGCGGCTGGGGGTGGAATGGGAGGCTGGCGCGGGCGGGGGTAGCGTTCCTCGCCCCCTCCATATGAGGGCGCAGCGGCGGTAGAAACGTGTAGTGCGACAATCCACGCGGCGTTCGAAAACAATTTCTACTAATTATCATTACAATAACAGCTCTGCCTTTTGTTCTGGAGGGGTAGCTTATACGCTCACCACCACTCTGCGCTTGAAGTTTTTGTAAAGGACGCAATGTATGCGTCTGGCCCCGGGTACTCTGCGAACGAAAACATTTAACTGGAAGAGCTGGGGGGGGGGGAGGAGGGCTGCAGCAATCAGCGACCCTCGATGGAGTGCGGATCTTGGAAGCTGTTTCCTACCCGCACTTTATTCTATGCAATTTCAACGCTATCATCAGCAGGAATATTATCGAGGGATGAAGTATTAACCGACGTCTTCTCAAAGTTTTACATAATGACAAAATAAACCGCAATATTATTCGTCTTCGTGTTTTTAGGGCACCAAGAAAGACCGTGTTCGTGCGGGCAACAACGAAAAAAGATCGTCCCTCCAGGCAGGGTGCTCCCTGACGTGCGATGGAATGTGTTGAGCCGCTGGAATAGGAGGCTCATGCCCTTAATGCCATCGGCCTAGAATTTATGGCTCATATTAAAATGGCACATGTGCGCGTGTTGGTGCGTCGGTGTGCGTCGGTGTGCGTCGGTGTGCTCTGTGTGTGTGTGCGTGCGCGCGCAAGGTGCCCGCGTTTCCCATCCCCGTGAATCATAACTTCTTGTAGCGTGATTTGCACGGTGATGTCGTGCCTCGATCCAATATCTTCACTATCTTTCGATGACACAAGCGCCCTGACACACGCTCCCCTCCCCCCACAAAAAAGGACAAAAAAGAAAACAAGAAGAATATTGCAAGGATGGCATGCAGAACAGGGGAACACAGCCGACTGGGCCTATTTGAATTTTAATATTTAGAAAAACGTGGACGGCCGCCCTGGGCCCCATTTTCTCGAAATCATTTCGGTTTATCGCAGGCAGTTTGAATGGAAATGGAATGTGAAAATATTGCGAGGCTCGACGTACACAGGCCGGCAGGCACGGATAGGGGGGAGGGATGCTTGCGCAGCCGTTGCTACTATCTGCAGAGGCCTGTCGTTCATTTAGAATTGCTCTCCAATTGATATTGATTGTTGGGCCTCTCGCGCGCCGCCAAAGCCAACGAAGGCAATCGCCCGCGTCTCCCCGCCGCGACCCTCTCTCTCTCTCTTCTGCCATATTCCCCTATGCCAACGTGTTCCAGTCCACTGCAATTTCACTCTAGTATGAATTGTTATTATTATGATGTGACTGTTACCCCTGGCTGGTCGCGGACAAAGCCGCCCGCTCGCGGAAGCCATTCCGGGGTCGGGGGACGGGCAGCCGCAGGGCTACAGGGTTCTAGGGAGGCAGAGCTCGGTGTGGTGGGCCTGCGTTTGTGCTGTTATTTCGCTTATCGCAGCAAACGCCCCTATGGCGGCAAGCCGTTCGTTCGCAAATAATATACACGTGTGTTCTACACTCAAAAAAAAAAAAAAAAAAAAAAAAAAAAAAAAAAAAGTGGACTGAGATTTTGCAATTTGTCGAACCAGGGGTATCTAAAAGACAAGGGGCGCCATAACCATACCTTGCAACTTGGAGAGTCAAGACTGCAGTGTGTCTACACTGTTACACCTGGTGCATCATCGTCAATAATGTATCATCTGACTACCGAATTAGGAAGCAGCTCCAGCACATTAACAACGTGCCGAGTTGGCGGCGTGTGTTTGGTGTATAAAACTGACACACAGCGGCGCTAATACTTCCCCCGTTTTCTGATTGCAGGACCCGCCAGCGCCGTGTTTGACGCTGCTAATGGACCGCCCAGAGGACTGCGCGGGCCAGCGTAGCACAGAGACACGTTAGAGAGACAACTCACCGCGCAGGGCGTGATGCAGCACGACACGGACCGCGACACGGACGGGTCGGCGTCGCCGTCGCTCTCGGCGTCGCCGCCCCCGCCGCCGCTGTCCAACGCGGCGACCGCGGCGCGCTGGGCGGCCCGGGGCGGCGCCGGCGCCCTGGGCCTCACGGCCGACGGCTTCCTGGCCAACGGGCCGCTGACGGCGGGCCACCCGAGCCCGTCCTCGTGGGGCCGCTGGCCTGGGGGCAGCGCGCCCGCCACGCGCGTCCCGGCCGCCTGCTGCCGCCGCCACAACTCCATCCAGAGCGCCACCACCGTCAACAGCTTCTCCAGCTCGCTGTACAAAGGTGAGTCACAAGAAACAAAACATGGCTTCAATTATTTCCTGTCCGTTTTCGACTGGACCCGCCAGACAAATTTTCTGGTGGAGAGCTATTTTTACCTGTACCTTTTATACCTTTCAACCCCCGCTATGTGGTCACGCTGCTCCCATGTTAAATCATAGGCACCAATAATGAGCCGCAGGCGGCCGCAGGGAATGTGTTCAACTAAAAAGTTGCTGTTATAACTGTATAACTTCAGAATAAATAGTTTGTACAATGTAAAAATGATGTCTGATTTTTTGAGGAAAAGGGGAAAACTTTGAAGCTAGCTCCTTGAGTTTGAGAAAACTTCACAGATTGTGAGAATATCTCATCACAAAATGAGGGAGATTCCCACAATTCTTTAAGGGAGTTCCCTAAAGTTTCCATTTTTACTCCAACAATCTGGCATTGTTTTTACTGCATACTGTACAAATTTCCATTACCACTACAGGTAAACTAATTTGTCGCACAGTCAGTGAAATTCGCGGAGTAGTGGAGGCTTGCGCCACCGCCGGGAGCGGGCCCGGCAGTGCATCACTACCTCATCACCTTGTCTGCGGGCGCTCCCGAGCGCTCCACCAGAGCGCCGATCGCGCTCCCGCGATAATAACATAATCACTTGCACACCTCCTCCTCCTCCTCGGCCGAGAAAACACCGTGTGGGGAACGACACACGGGATGGCCGAGCAGTTTATGGGCGACGGCGGAGGCGAGAAGGGAGCGAGGGAGAGAGAGAGATCCTTTACGGCTGAGCCGCGCAAGACTCACGCCGTCTCAATCACAGGATATATACGGCGCCGGTTAATTTGTCAAATAACTCCGTCGATAGGCGCGGTCCAGTCAGGCCTGGAGCGGGAGCGGCAGAAGCGAAGCGCGCGTCAGGTGCGATAGGGGCACGCCCAAGTCTGTCGAAGTGTTGTCACGGCTCTGCTGTTTTTCCCTTCTTCGTTCGCTAGTGCCCCCGCGAGCGCACCTAAAAATCCAATTCTGTTAATGTCACAGAACTGTAGGCAAAAGAACGCCATTCGTAGACATGGAGGCATACGTGTGTAAATTGGAAAAGGAAAATTCGGACCTTTCCTCTTGGAAGTCTGAAACTGGGAATTCGCACACCTACAAGTGTGCGACACTCACTTGCGCTTCCAGTCCGTCTCCAGCGCCATAACGGACCCAGGCGTCCCTCCTCTCCGACTCCGATTGCAGCGCTGAATGTTCTCGCGCACTTCCGGTCTGACAAACGCGCGCCGGGCCACTAACCAGAGCATGGGACCCGCGGCCGCGACGCCAACTTGGGTAAGGGCCCCAATCGCAAGTAGCGAGTGTGTGTATGAGAGCGAGAGAGAGAGAGAGAGAGAGAGAGAGAGAGAGAGAGAGAGAGAGAGAGAGAGAGTTAGGTGAGCACTGCGGAGGGCAGGTCGCGGGCTGGAGGGGGCGCCGCCGGTGTCGTGTAGACTTGCCGCACAGTCTGCTGGAGACACACCCACTGCCGGCGCTCTACTCTCTCTCTCTCTCTCTCTCACACACTGTCACACTCACTCACCCTCTCTCTCTCTCTCTCTGCCCTCTCTTCCAGTCTGCACCCCTTCCCATTCAATACCGCAGCCCCCCCCCCTCCGAGGAGGCGCAGTGCGCGGGACGAAGAGGCCGGGCAGTTGCTCTCCGCTGTACAGAGGGACGGCCGTCTCATGGGGGCCCTCTCGAGCCGTCG